TCGTACCCCCAGGCTCAGCACCCCCAGGCTCCGCACCCCCAGGCTCCGCACCCCCAGGCTCAGCACCCCCAGACTCAGCACCCCCAGACTCAGCACCCGCAGGCTCAGCACCCCGAGCAGCACCAGAGTCAACAGCTACCTCGACAGGCTCGACTGCGTCTACCTGGGACACACCTGACGGGGCAGGACCCTGAGGGGGGAGAGGGTCTACCGGAGGGGGACCTGGCGCAAGGAAGAGTGGCGGCGGGGGGAGGGGCGCAGTGCGGTAGGGGAAGAGACGGTAGTAGGGAACCGACTCGTCAAAGGTGACGTCCTGGGAGGACAGAACACGGCGCGAGGTGGGGTGGTAAAACTGCCAACCAGGCGCGTCAGGGGGGAAGCCAAGGAAGACGCAGGGAACAGCACGGGGGGACAACTTGTCTACAGACAAGTCGCGGACAAACGCCCGAGATCCCCAGACACGAAACGCAGATGCATCGCCAACCTTCCCCGTCCACCGCAAGGTGGGGGAGGTCTCCGGCAAGGAGACTCAGGGCTGAAGGTTGATCTGATGCGCCGCGTACTGAACCGCGAACGGCCACAAAAAATGGGGAGCAGCCGCATGGATCATGGACGAACGAGCGACGTCCATGACCATGCCAATGCGGCGCTCAGCAATCCCATTTTGCTGTGGAGAGGCCGGAAGCGTGTACGTCTGACGGATGCCCTGTGCATGGCAGAAGGCTCCCAGAAGGCCGGAGGAAAAACCCCGCCTCTGTCAGAGTGCAGACGCAGAACAGGAAAGTGCGAGCCGAAACTCCTCCTGAGCTGGAGACGAGCTGCGCGGATCCAGTCGATCAACACCCCAGTGACGTCACCCTTGCTGCGCAAGGGGATCACCGTAGTGTAACGCGAGTAGTCGTCAACCACCAACAGGAAGTAACGCTCGTGACCCTGGCCACGGAGTCGGGCGGGGCCCCACACGTCCATGTGAAGAGTCTGCAGCGGAGCCTCTGTCGGAGGAAACTCAGAGGAGTGAGGAGCGGCGCGCTGCCGCGAACGCAGGTAGGGGCAGGCCCGGGAGGAAGGGGAGGGAGGGACCGGGGGAGACCAGAGACAAGGTAACGGGAGGCCATGCCTCGGAGACGAGGCAAGGAGGGGTGACCAAGGCGGTGGTGCCAGAGGAGAGTCTGGTGGGACAGGAGACGACATGAGCAGGGAGCAGACTCAGGACCAGACCTGGACGCTGCAGCAAACACCTGACCCGACGCAGCTACCTGACGAGACTCAGCAGCTTGAGAAGACCCAGTGGTCAGTGTGTACAGGCTCGACCCCGGCTGACGGGTAAACGTGGCCAAGTGGCGGCCCGTCCGAGCACACGTACAGTGGGTCACTCGCTGACTCGCATGAGTGAACTGGTCAACCCCCCCATCCTGTAGATCAGCTCCACTCACCAAGTTCGTGGAGAACGAGGGGAGGTAGAGACCTGACAGGGTACCAGAGGGGGCAGCCGGACACGGTAAGACAGTGGAGAAGTGGGCACGGACAGGACCCCCAGAGGGGTCCTCCAAAGAGACCGCAACTGGCTGACTAAGCGGCGTAAGTGTGGTGCGGTCTCGAAAAAGGAGCGGGAAGCACCCGAGTCAAGGGTGAAGGTGTGTACGGCCTGAGCCGACGTGGTACCTGAGAGAGCAGACTCACCAGCACCTGAGGCAGCAGACGCACTAGCACCTAGAGCAGCAGCCTCACCAGCACCTGGGGCAGCAGACGCACTAGCACCTAGAGCAGCACTCTCACCAGCACCTAGAGCAGCAGCCTCAATGCCCGGCTCAGGCGGAACACACAGGTAACAGTCAACCTCATCACTAGTAGACACAGCATACATGGCAGCAAGAATAGCATCATAATCTAGATCAAAGATAGCAACCCCCGACCTAAGCAGCTCGCCCCAGCGGGGGATCTCCGTGGCGTCAGGGAACTGGAGACGCTAAGCGTCCGTCAGGCGGCCGAAGCAGCGCTGGGTGGTGTGCGGGCCACCGCACGGCTCACCAGTGCGGTCGCCGGTACGCAGGACGTAGGCACAAGGACCAGCACCCCCGCCCCGCTGACGCGCAGCGTACCACTCACGAAGGTGCTGGGGGGGCGGGGTCTCACGAGTGCGCTGCTGCTGCTGGCGCTGACCACCACCGAAGCCGCCCCGCTGCGCAGAGCCACCCCGACCAGCGCCACCTCCACCGCCGCCACCTCCGCCACCGCCGCCACCGCCACCTCCTCCGCTCCCACCGCCACCGCCGTCGCCGCCTCCGCCTCCACCGCCGCCACCGAAGCCCCCACCCCCGCCACCACTCCCGCCGCCACCCCCACTCCCTCCGCCGCCTCCACCGCCACCTCCACCACCCCCGCCAGCCCCTCCAGCGCCCTTGCCCCCCTTACCCTTGCCGGTTCGGCGTCTCCCGCTAGGAGCAGACGCAGCGCCGACCGACTCGGTGCCAACGAAGTCGACGGCAGCAGCAGAGGCAACAGAGGGCAGAAGGGGGGAGGGGGAGCACCCCTCAAAGAAGGGGGCACGAGGGTCACCACGAGAGGCTCCTACAGTGACTATACTTTTCTCAGCTGCTAGGAGGCGCTCCTCTAGGAGGTCAACGGTGAGTGTGGTGGGGCAAACAGAGAGGAAGTGGTCCCTGACTGGACGAAGGGAGTCAGGGAGCCGGGTGACTATGTAGTAGAGGGTGATGTACATGGGGGGGGGGTTCTTGGCGCAGAACTCAGCAGGAAGTGCAGCGCGGTAGCGGGTGTCACTAGTGCGAAGGTGCGTAATGAGGTCAGCGACTGTGGGAAAGGCGGCTAGGTCAGGGAACAGGTACGGCAGCATGAGGCGGCTAAGAGCAGCAGTGGCAGGGGAAGAGTAGCGTGCAATGACAGCGTCGTACAAGGTCTTAGCACTCTTGTACTGACTAAAGTGCGCGCGCTCAGTGGACGGCAAGTGATTACGCACAGCAAGACGGGCAGCAGCATCGCGTGTGGCCCACTGTGAGCGAACAGTGCTGTCAGCATCGGCAGCAGGGGCAGGAGAGGCGCCAGACGTGAGATCGAACAGTGAGAGACCGTCTTTCCTATCGCACTGTAGGAAGAGCTGCAGATCATCGACCCAGACCTCAAAGTCAACAGCCCGACCCTCAGCATCAAAGACAAGGACGCTAGGGGTAGCCATGACAGCAGTGGCAGCAGTAGCAGCAGTGGCAGTAGGAGCAGTAGTGGCAGCAGTGACAGCGCAGTGCGGCGACACTCCTACCAGGGCAGAGAGCCGCAAGTGGTGGGGCAGGGCCGAGGCGCGCAGGTAGGGCCGAGGCGCACCAGCAGAGGCGGGCCGAGGCGCGCCGGTAGGGCCGAGGCGCACCGGCGGCTGCAATCAGCGGCGGCGGCAGCTGCGGCCCCGAGGGAGGTGGCGGCGGCTGCTGCAGGTGACGGCTGCGGCAGCTGCGGCTTCCGCTGCAGGGACGGCGGCGGCTGCTGCTGCAGGGACGGCGGCGGCTGCTGCTGCAGGGACGGCGGCGGCCGCTGCTGTAGGGACTGCGGCGGCTGCAGGAGCAGGGGCGGCGACGGCGGGCCGCGAAGGGCGGCGACAGGGCCGCAAGAGGCCGCGAAGGGCGGCGAAGGGGCCGTGAAGGGCGGCGCGAGGGGCCGCGGAGGGCGGCGACGGGCCGTGAAGGGCGGCGCGAGGGGCCGCGGAGGGCGGCGACGGGCCGTGAGGAGGCCGCGAGGGGCCGCGAAGGGCGGCGAGAGGGGGGGGGCCGACGGGCGGCGCGAGGGGGGGCCGTAAGGGGCCGAAAGGGCGGCGCGAGGAGCCGTAAGGGGCCGCGCGAGGGGCCGTAAGGGCGGCGCGAGGGGCCGTAAGGGGCCGCTAAGGGCGGCGCGAGGGGCCGACGGGCGGCGCGAGGGGCCGTAAGGGCGGCGCGAGGGGCCGTGAGAGGGGCCGCTAAGGGCGACGCGAAGGGGCCGTGAGGGGCCGTGAGAGGGCGCGACGGTAGGGAGGGCAGACGGGGCGCGACTCGGGCAGGAGCGAAGCGCGCTTCGGGCAGGAAAAAAAATCGTGGTGGGCCCTAGGAAGCGTTCCCACTAGGGAACCTGCTCGATACCATGTGAAGAAACGAGGAATGATTGACTAGTGCAAGGGTTGGGTACAAGTACAAACCCTAGAAATATTGTACCCCATATGTGCTACCCCACTACAGCCTACATAGGTTAAGTCATATAAGTCTGACATAGAGAACCCAGGGAATAGCAACACCGCCCAAGTTCTTGGAGGTGGCGATAAAAATGATACCCTACTTCCTCTGGGAGGAGCGTGTGTGGTAGTAAGGCGATGCTTCCATTGCAGTAGAATACCGTACCAGTAGTACCACGGGCTAGCAGCTTCCTTCAAAGAGCTTCAGTTTCTAAAAAAAGGCTCCACTAAGGCAGGTATCCCGGAGCATGTAAATCATTGCAGCTGCATGTGCCCGCCAGCAAGCAGCAGCTTGAGAGCACAAAAGTTGGACTACCAAATGTCATCAATGAGGAAGTGAAGCTGCTTGACATTTCCGTCCCTCACACTACAGGGTGGGAACATCAGAAACTCTATCCCAGATATCTGGCTAAACAGCCTTTACACACCAGCCCAGAATGGAAGTGGTTGAAATCAATAAGAAAAGGCTTGGAACGTAGGAGCACATCAACAGCAGCTCCATTGCAAGATGAGCCATGCTTACTACCACATGGTGCTTCCTTCCATCAACCTCCCCATGACTGCCCTCTCTTCCAACTCTCCTCCCCCCATCCCCTTCAACCCCCCTGTAAGCGACCTCCTCAGTCTCCTCTCCAATGCCCCCACCAGCCTCTTCCTCCCTATCCGATACCGCAACACCACCTCCCTCTCCCTTGCCTCCCTCTCCGCTATGCCCCCTTTCCTGTCCCCTCCCTCCTCCGCACTCTCCTCACTCTCACTTTCCTCGCTTTCCTTACTCCCCTCATTCTCTTGAATCTCAAATTTCCTCCCTCCGACCGTCCTCCCCTTCTCCGGGACCCTCCCTTCCTCCTCCCTCCACAACCCTCCTCACATTCTTCCTCTTCCCCACCCTCTTCGTCAACCCCCTCCTCTCTCTCTCCAACAAGCCTGCCAATTCCTCCTCATCCTCCTCCAACCGGTTTCCAAACCCTTCAATAACAGCACAACAACGCGCGTGTATGCCATCCAGAGCAGCTTTCAGGCATGCAAGCAGGCGGGGAGAGAGGCGGGGGCGCAGGGGGTGCAATGCCGGGTGGGAGATGCCCCAGCAGTAGAGAACGCTGGCACAGGCTATGGGATGGTGCCGGGGCTCTGTTTGTCGGGAGCGGGGGAGGAGGATTTGGGGTTTGTGGGGACGGAAAGAGGGGAAACAGGGGGCAGAAGGGCATGGGGTGAATGGGAGATGCCTTAGCACAATGGAGGGAACAAGCACAGGGGCACAAGGAATGAGAGGAGTTCTAGTGATTGTCAGAACAGGCCACATATTCACCAAGACCAAACACTCGCACTTGCCTCAACCGCTCACTCGCAATCACCCTGACCGTAGATGACGAGGAGCCAGAGACTGGAAGACACTCGTGCATACATACAGCACTGACGGAACACACTCGCGCATACATACGACACTCACGGAACACACTCGCGCATACGATACAACACACGCTGGCACTCACCGCGGCCATAGACAAAGAGGTGCCAGAGAGCAGCAAAGGAGGCCATGATGCGAGGGTCCACATGCCCATGCGGCCACACCGCATACCCCCTCTCCGCCTCAAAGCTGTACTCTGGCCCATACAGACTCGCCCCGTATGGAAGGTATACTGTTGCTGTTGCTGGTGATCTCTCTGCTGCTGGTGAATCCTTTCCCGAGGGGCACTTTGACGGAGATTGTTTTTCTGGTGAGCTCTGCGCTGCGGCATTTGTTTTTCCCGGTTTTTTAGAGAAAGCACGTGCTTCTGCACAATTCTCAGCGTCACTCTACTTTCCCCCGTTCTTCTCATCCTCTTTCTCCGCCGTCTTTCCGTTCTCCTGCAATCTCGCCTCCCGCTCATCCAAGGCATGATTGATCTCCATTCCGGCACCCTCTTGACTTCCCTCTCTTGTCTCCCCCCCTCTTCTATCCGTATTTCCTTCGTCTTCCGTCCAGCCATTCACAGCTTCATATGCCTTTCTCAAACCACTTTTGCCATTCCACTTTCTGTTCCCATCTTCTTCCTCCTCCACACTACCCCCCCTCGCTCCGCTCATCTCCTCTCTTGCCCTCCCTCTCCCCCCGTCCTCCTCATCAGCATCTAGTACCACCACTGCTCCCTCCTCTTGCCCATCCTCACACCTTGCACAGCTAGTTTCACATCTAGAACCTCTGTTTTCCACCTTCTCTCCACCACTACTCCCACCACCCTCCATCACACTCTCCCCATCACAACCAATCTGCACCAACTCCTCCTCTTCTCCATCCACGCCCCCCTCACAAATGGTCACCCTCTCCCTTCTCTCTCCACCGCTACACCCACCGTTTCCCCCATCAATTCGTCTAGTAGTCTCCTTCTCCCTCTCCCCTTCAATTCCCCCCTCAATCTCCCCATCAATCTTCCCCTCCCGCTCCCCCTCACCCTTCCCCTCACACTCATCCCCACTCTCCCCCACCCCCTCCCCACCTCCATCCTCCACAGTCCCAATCAGCACCCTCACCACCCTCCCCACACTCTTCACACTCTCCTCCACCTCCCCCACCACCCCCCTCGCCACCTCCCCATCCTCCTCCCCAAAATCCCCGGGGAAATAATGCTCCGCGAAGAACTCAAGCAGGTCGGAAGAGGAGCGGAAGAGGGGGAGGGAGTCGAAGGAGTTGGGATGGGGGAGAAGCCGTAGGACGGGAGGAAGGAGTGGGAGGAGCGCACGCCGTAGTGTGTGAGGAGGTCAGCACTGGGGGCGATGGGAGCAATGGCGTGGAACAGATAGTGGCCTGATGAGGCACGCTGGGATTGGGGGAATGGGGGCGTGGGGAGGAAGAGAGGGGATTGGGAAAGGAGGAAAAGGGGGGGACACGAAGCTACTTTTCTATGAGACACGAAGAGCTTGGGGAGAGAGGATGGTGGAGGAGGGAAGTTGCAAGGAGAGGGGGATGCGAGGAGAGGTGTGGCGACAAGGGCCGCGGAAGGTAGAGAGTGAGGGGCAGTGGGGATGAGGAGAGTGGAAGAATGGGGAAAGAATGAAGGGACAACGAGAGTGGCAAACGATATGAGGAGCTCTGAACGAGGGATGGCAGTCAAGAATGGGCGGATTGAGAAGAATAGAGAGCATAGGGAGGGATGAGGAGCGTGGGGAGGATAGGGAAGGAGGTGAGGATGGGGAGGATGGGGAAGGAGGAGAGGATGGGGAGGATGGGAAGGAGGTGAGGATGGGGAGGATGGGGAAGGAGGAGAGGATGGGGAAGATAGGGAAGGAGGTGAGGATGGGGAGGATGGGAAGGAGGGGCGGGGGGCGGATTTGCATTGTGGTGTTGGGGGAAAGCGGCAGCGCTTGGTTGACGGCCCACGCAGCGCAGCAATGACCTGGCCACTGACTAACCTTACACCATTCGTTCTTACATCATGGGCCCAGGAAGGTATGCAGGAGTGGAAACGGTGGGGTTTTGGGTATGGCGAGGGTGATGGTGAGAACGAGAGGGGGGAGAGAGGGAGGGAGGGAGGGAGGGAGGGAGGGAGGGAGGGAGGGAGGGAGGGAATGAGGGAGGGAGGGATGGATGGAAAGGGAGGGCGTTGGCACTGACAGTCCAGGTGCCGTTGTAGTGCTCGCTGTGGTTCATCAGATCCGCCAGGGGCAGCAGCGCCCCCCAGCTGTTCTCCTCACACGCCTCTGCTGCTGCTGCTGGCGCTGCTGCTGGCGCTGCTGACGCTGCTGCTGCTGCTGGCGCTGGCGCTGCTGCTGCTGCTGCGGCTGAAGGTGGCAAGGAGGAAGAGGAGGGGTCAGCGGAGGCGGAGGAGGGCGAGGAGGGAGGGGAAGGGGAGGAGAAGGTGCGAGAGGAGATGACGGTCATGGCCCAGAGGAAGGCGGAGAGGGGTGCATGGGCGATGAAGTCAGGAGCGCACCGCCGGTACTCCTGCTCGTACGCGTGCCGGTATGCCACTGCCTGTGGGTGGGGGGTGCGGTGGGGTGCAGCATCGGGGTGGCTGGTTGGGTTGGAGGTTGGCAGTGCAGCATGAGAAATGTGTGAGGGAAGGAGGAGGGGCCGGCCACCGAAATGATGAAGTTGTGGGGGATGATGCGGGCAGGGGACAGTGCGCTTGGTGTGAAGAAGAGGTGACTTTTGAGTCGACTCAAAAGTCACCTTGATGCGGGCAGGGGACAGTGCGCCTGGTGTGAAGAAGATGAATAAGAAAAGGAGCGAATGATGCGCCATCTTTTGAGGCGCCTCAATAATGGTACGTCATCAGCCATCCAGTTTGCATTTGCACTCCAAGTAGCCCTCCAGCTTCCAACCACATGCTCCCACATTTGTCCGTTTCCCTCACGCCGCATTTTTCCATCCCCTCCTTTCCTTCCCCTTTCATATCCTCCCCTGCTCCCCCCCTGCTCTCCCCTCCTCCCTCCCCTCCACCACTCCCTACCTCGAACCATCCCTTCAGTAGGGCATAGCATAGCTGCTGACCTTTGAGTCGAATTCACTCACTCCCACCATGAATTCCATGAAACGCCACGTGATAGAAGTTGTGGTTGAGACGTCTCAAGACTCAAAGCACAACCGTCATCACGTGGATATCTGCTGTGAGATTCTGCTGTCATCACGTGGGCGAGCCCAGAAAATAGTGTCCTGACTCCCGGTTGGTTGTTATGTGGGTAGGATTCTCATTGCATGCATGGAATGGAACGGAATGGAACGGAACGGAATCGCGTGTGCAACCAGAAAGCTCTCACCATGGCTTCAGTGGGGCGCCACTGCAGCTGCTGGATGGTGGAGAGCGGGAAGAGGGACGGCAGCGGCACGTGGGGGGGCAGCGTGGCGAGGTACGGCGCCCATGGGGAGGCGTGGCCCTTGGACACCTCTCGCAGCAGCCATGCTGCCATGCCCGTGCTCGCTGCCCACCCATTGGAGGACGCTGGTGCTGCTGGTGCTGATGGTACAGCTGGTGCTGCTGGTGCTGGTGGTGGTGCTGGTGATGGTTGTGCTGCTGATGGTCCTGATGGTGCTGATGGTATGGCTGATGGTGCTGGTGGTAATGGTGGTGCTGTTGGTGCCGCTGCTGATCCCGGTGCTGCTGCTTCTCCTGTTGCTTCTGTTGTTGCCACGCCTGTGCTCCTTGTCAGGCCTCAGTTAGGGGATCGAGATGATAAGTGTGATGGTGATGGTGATGGTGATGGTGATGGTGATGGTGATGGTGACCATACTAATGCTGCTGAACTCGCAGCTACTGGTGCTTCAGCTACTACAGTGCTGCTATCACTACAACGTGCTGCTTCTGCAACATTGCACCACCGGTCTTCCGGCAGTGAACACACACTGCTACAGACATCGCTGCTACTGCCGCCACTGCTGTCAGAGTTGCTACCGCCACTACCACCAGAACAGGGAGGATTTGTACAGACGCACACAGCAGCAGCGCCACCATCTCTAGTGCTCTCCACGCCCCTCCCCTGCCCTCTGCTGCATCCACTGCCACCACTGCTACTGCCACCACTGCCACGGTCAGTGAATAAAGGGTTCCCAGGCTCTAAGTGTCTGTTCAGGCCTCCAAGTCCCTCCTCCCACCGCTCCTCCTCCTTCCTCTCTCCCTTCCCCTCTCCCTTCTCCTCTCCCTTCTCATCTCCCTTCCCCTCACTCCCTGGGTTACTCCCTCCAGGATTAGAGGCAGAAGTGGGCGTAGGAGGAAAGGGTGAGGGGGAGCAAGAGGAGCAGGGGCAAGGGTGGGTGTGAGGGAGCGAGTAGGCGGGGGCGATGCGATCGGGAGTGATCTGCAGATTGGGCGGCATGCAGAAGAGCAGCTCTCCTGGCGCTATGTGGCGCGATGCCACGAGACCCAGGTCAGGCCTGGCAGGCAATGAGCACAGGCGTGGTGAGAAAGAGGCGAGAAAGAGAAATGGGGGAAAACTGGATGAGATGAGCAGCTCTCCTGGTGCTATGCGGCGAGATGCCACGAGACCCAGGTCAGGCCTGGAAAAAGGGCGGGTGCAAGGTGATGAGGGAGGGGGGAGGCGGGATGGGACGGAACGGGATGGGATGGGATGGGATGGGACGGGATGGGATGGGATGGGATGGGATGGGATGGGATGGGATGGGATGGGATGGGATGGGATGGGACGGGACGGGACGGGACGGGATGGGATGGGACGGGATGGGATGGGACGGGATGGGATGGGATGGGATGGGATGGGATAGGATGGGATGGGATGGGATGGGGCGGCCATCAAGAACATTGACTAACACATCCAATGAATCGGAGGTCAGTGGGCAATTGATCAATCCAATGAATCCAACGAGCCCCGGCAAGACAATTATGCTGCAAGCAAGTACACACAATCCCCTGCCCTCGCTCTTTCACCCCACACACAACAGAGCCCCTTCCATTCACTCATGCGCACACACACACCCCACATGCGACCTCTATTGCAACCCATGCGTCTCTTTGCTTACCCTTTTCTCTCTCACCTGCCTCTGGGACCTGCATGTCTGGATCCAGGAGGCAGATGCAGCAGCGGACACACCACCACCTGATAACGTGCGATGTGCCATGCCATGCCACGCCATGCCATGCCACGCCATGCCATGCCATGCCATGCCACGCCATGCCATGCCATGCCATGCCATGCCATGCCATGCCATGCCACGCCATGCCATGCCATGCCATGCCATGCCATGCAATGCCACGCCATGCCACGCTATGGCATGCCATGCCACGCCACACCACGCCATGCCACCCCAAGGACACGGGAACAAAACGAAAGAGGTGGGTTGCGAGTGCAGTAGACAGGTGTGGGAGAGGGGAGAGAAAACGCAGGAAAAAGAGAGGAGATTTGCACTGTGCAATGCAGAGAGCAGAGCTGATCCAAAGACGTTTGGTCAAGTGTGAGTGTCCAAAGACGTCTGCATTGCATTGCATGGCACCGCATGGCACTGCATGGCACTGCATGGCACCGCATGGTACTGCATTGCATAGGATGTCATCATTCCATGGCCATACAAGACAGATGCATGAACGCACCTTGAAGGGCCATGTGTGTGGGTCAGGAGTGGCGCCATTGGCATGCAGCCACAGCAGCAGCTCCCCCACATCCACCTCCATGCCCCCCATGTCCATTTCGCCCTCCCTGTCCTCAGTGCCCTCCCTTGCCTCCCTTCCCTCCCTGCCCTCTCTGCCCTCCCTACCCTCCCTCCTCTCCCTCCTTTCCCTGCCCTCCCCGCCCTCCCTGCCCTCCATGCCTATGCTAAGGCATCGGTTCGTGACGCCATGAGTATCACCACCAGCACGCACATCAGCACGCCCATGCCCATCTCGCTCTTCCCCCAACGCAGCCCTGGCCCCATGCGCTCTGCCTCTGCTGCTGCCACCCTGGTGTGAAATCTCGGCCTCGTGCCCCCCTCTCCGCCCCACAGCCCTGCCTCCTCCCTGTTCTCCCCTCGCACCTGCCTCCTTCTCCCGGTTGTCCTCCCTTCTCCCTCCCTCCTCCTCCTCCTCCTCCTCCTCCTCCTCTTCCTCTTCCTCCTCCTCTTTCTCTTCTTCTTCCTCCTCTTCCTCCTCCTCTTTCTCTTCTTCTTCCTCCTCTTCCTCCTCCTCCTCCTCCTCCTCCTCCTCCTCCTCCTCCTCCTCCTCCTCCTCCTCCTCCTCCTCCTCCTCATACTCACACTCCCCTTCGTCATTCCCATGCATCACTGCCCATTCCTCACCATCATCCTCCTCTTCTTCCTTCCCCTCCCCCCCCTCCTCCACACACTCTCTCATTTCATCCCCCCCCGCTGGCTCCTCCCCCTCCTCCCTATCCTCCCCGTTCTTCCCCTCCTCCACACGTTTCCCCCCTCCTTCCCACCCACTCTCCTCCCGCCCACACACCTCACCACCCATCACCGCACTGCACTCCTTCGCCTCCTCCCCATCACAAAGCGTCCCATCCGCCCTTGCCCGTCTCCACTTCTCTCCTTCTGCCTCGCTGCCACCGCCACTCGTAGCACCACGTGCAACGCAAGTTGCCATGCATACGCGCAGCAAGCCACCACGTGCAAACCAGTTGGTTCTAAAGAACCACTCCAACGTCTCAGCGGCCAGCTTACGCTATCATACACGCGCGCAAACCACTCTCGGTTGCCATACCCATCTTCCCCTGCCCATCCTCCCCACCTCCCCCCCCGCTTCCCCTCTCTCTGCGCGCAACGAGCGCCGGGAGAAGGTGGAACGGTCGTGCCAATACTAGCCAACGTGGGGGGGGTGCGGGGAGCACGAGCGCGCGCGGAAGTTGCTCCGGGACGCGGAGTACGGGCGGAAGGCGCGGAGGAGCACGGTGGAATGGCACTAGATGAAGTAGCAGTGCGGAAACTTGGCGTGCTCTGGGGGAATGAGTATCGTGCGGCTCGGGGCAAGGAGCGGGGCTAGGGGAAAGAGAAGTGAGCCGATTCGCGGGCAAGCGGGCGAGGCGGCGAGGAGGCGCCAGAAGCGGTGGAGTATGCAGGGGAAAGGCGATTTGGCACGAGACTTAGTGTATATGTGCTACACTCCCCTCGCTAGCTACCCAGTACCCACTGGCACCGCACATTCGCAATCAGGCTGCGGAGGTAGCACATTCGCATTGCGCGCAAGTTGTGCGCGTGCGCCCCACGAAGGAATCAACCGCGAATCCGAATTCCATGAATTTTCGGACACTACTGGATCAGCTGGGCTTTCTGTTGGCATTCCGCCACACAATTTTAACCGAGGGTTGATTTTGTGTGTAGTTCCTGACCGCAATCAACCGGGTACCGAAGGAGACTTTATCGAACTCTTGTCCAATAACCGATCCCTCTTGAACGCATCACACCTTACTAAACCACCAGGGTTCTTGTTTTGTCACGGTCGGACCAGAAAATGGCTGGCGGATACTCCTTATCCACGCGACGCGACATTCACATGCTTGCTCAGAGCTGCTCACACACCCAGCATGTGGTTACACTGTAGCTCTCTCGGACTTGGTTCAAGCACACAGACAGTGCTGCAAGAACACGTCGTCATGAGTGAGTGACCCATCGTGAGTAGTGGTACAATTACAATACAACTATGATGTAAGCAACTCTGATGAGTGTGGGAGTGTGTGGGAGAACTCGTTTCGTTTCCCCCAGTGACGAATGGGAGTACGGTAGCACAACAAGCTGGAGTGCAGTCGCAGGGTTGGTTGGAGGAAACGATGCGGCACGATCATTCTTCTGCGCGAAACAAACTTCAAGTGGGCGATTCCGGCGGACTGTCGCAGCGTCATACTAGTAATAGAACGCCCGGATTCAAGTGAGTACCACTTGACGCATTCCGGATTTCCCCAGCCACTGCACGCCGAGGGTGACGGCCTCGTACTACTACGATTCAACCTCGGAGGTTACTGCAGTCCGCTTTTGAGTCGAGTAAAAAAGCAGTCGACTTATAAGTCGACTCAAAACCCAGCCGCCGCACGCCGAGGGTGACGGGCTCGTACTACCACTAATCGAAGTCGCGGCAGTCCCTTGTCGTACCAGTAGAGGTAGCACCTGCGCGACCGACGGCGGCGGCGTGTGCACCGGCGTTGCCAATTGGCTCGTCGACCGTCACGTTTGGCCGTGACCGTGAGCGTGAGCGACCGACGTCCAGACTGCGTGTCTCTCGCTCTCCCCCCCCTCACTCTCTCAACCCTCTCGCTCACCAACCTCTCCGTCCATGACGCCGCAATTCAATCTTCGCCGCACCCGCGCTACTACTATCACTCTCCCGGCTAGTAGCACAAGCGCTGCACAAGTGCTCGACACCAGCATCCCCAGTAGTAGAAATACCACAAGTAGCGCTACCAGCCTCACTGGCAGTACTAGTGCACGGCGCGCCGCCAGCTCTCACTCCCCTGCAAGCCAGACGGGCCGCCGCCGCCGCAGCAGCAGCACCAGCGGCGGCGGCAGCAGCAGCGCCGTTTTCTCGTCTCCGCGCGTGCTGGCGGCCGCAGCGCGCCTGCTCCTCGTACCTCTTCTCATCCTCACTGCCGCCGCCGACTGCTTTCCCCGCAACGCCGCGCCCCCACCGCTGCCCTCCCCGCCTCGCCGCCCCGTCTCCCCTCGCCACCGTCCACCCCCTCCGCGCGGCAACCTCCGCCTGCGCGCGCCTTCTCCGCTCCGCCATGCGGCAGAACCGACTCTCGGCGCGTGGCTCGAGTTCCCCAGTGTCGCCTGGGGGAATTCGATCTCCTGGCGCAACCGCGGAGAAGGCGGGGGCAGCCAAGGCGGCGCGCGGGATCGCCGCGCGCTTTTGCGGGTTGAAGTTACCGCCGCCGCCGCCGCCGCTGCTGCTGCGAGGCCCGTGGCTCTAGGGACGTCGCAGTGTGAGTAGTGGGGATGAGGTAAGGGTGGTGGAGGGGAAGAGTGGGGCATTGGGAGTGGGGCATTGGGAGTGGGGCATTGGGAGTGGGGCATTGGGAGTGGGGCATTGGGAGTGGGGCATTGGGAGTGGGGCATTGGCAGTGGGGCATTGGGAGTGGGGCATTGGCAGTGGGGCATTGGGAGTGGGGCATTGGCAGTGGGGCATTGGGAGTGGGGCATTGGCAGTGGGGCATTGGGAGTGGGGCATTGGCAGTGGGGCATTGGGAGTGGGAGTGGGTGCGCGGCGTGGTGGGAGCGAGTGCGTTGTTGCATCTCAATGCACCGTGCATTGATGCAGCTGATCTGGTGCCTGCACTGCATCACTGCTCCCCGTTCCGCAGTATCTCGATCGATTACCCTGAGTATCCCCGTTCTCCCCATTATCCCCATTACCGTCACCTCCCCGTTTCCCCCATCACCCCGTTCACCCCATCTCCCCGTCCCCCGCATCGCCCCGTCCCCCCCATCGCCCCGTCCCCACGTCATCTCCATGGCCCTTTTCTCCCCATCATCATCCTCATCCCCATCCCCATGCACCTGGGCGGTGTGCGGGCAGTGCGCGCGCTGGTGCAGCTGCAGGAGGCGTGGGGGGGCGCGTGGGCGGGCAACAGCAACGCCACCACGGCGTGCTCTGCGTGGGCTGGCGTCACCTGCAGCCCCAACGGGGCCGTCCTTGCCCTGTGAGTCCCAACGGGGCCGTCCTTGCCCTGTGAGTCCCAACGGGGCCGTCCTTGCCCTGTGAGTCCCAACGGGGCCGTCCTTGCCCTGTGAGTCGCAACGGGGCCGTCCTTGCCCTGTGAGTCGCAACGGGGCCGTCCTTGCCCTGTGAGTCGCAACGGGGCCGTCCTTGCCCTGTGAGTCGCAACGGGGCCGTCCTTGCCCTGTGAGTCGCAACGGGGCCGTCCTTGCCCTGTGAGTCGCAACGGGGCCGTCCTTGTCCTGTGAGTCGCAACGGGGCCGTCCTTGCCCTGTGAGTCGCAACGGGGCAGTCCTTGCCCTGTGAGTCGCAACGGGGCTGTCCTTGCCCTGTGAGTCGCAACGGGGCCGTCCTTGCCCTGTGAGTCGCAACGGGGCCGTCCTTGCCCTGTGAGTCGCAATGGGGCTGTCCTTGCCCTGTGAGTCGCAACGGGGCCGTCCTTGCCCTGTGAGTCGCAACGGGGCAGTCCTTGCCCTGTGAGTCGCAACGGGGCTGTCCTTGCCCTGTGAGTCGCAACGGGGCCGTCCTTGCCCTGTGAGTCGCAACGGGGCCGTCCTTGCCCTGTGAGTCGCAACGGGGCCGTCCTTGCCCTGTGAGTCGCAACGGGGCCGTCCTTGCCCTGTGAGTCGCAACGGGGCCGTCCTTGCCCTGTGAGTCGCAACAGGGCTCGTCACTGCCCTGTGTGCGAGTGGGTGGCTGGCTCAACATCGTGCAATGCATGCATGCATGTGTGTGTGCGCACAAGCGTGTTCGAAAGATACCCATCCATGTGTGTGTGTGTGTGTGTGTGTGTGTGTGTGTGTGCGTGTGTGTGTGTGTGTGTGTGTGCGTGTGTGTGTGTGTGTGTGCGCGCGCGCGCACACAAGCGTGTTCGAAAGATACTCATCCATGTGTGTGTGTGTGTGTGCGCGCGCGTGTGCGCGTGCGTGCGTGGGTGTGGGCGGGCGGGCGGGCGGGCGGGTGGGTGGGTGGGCGGGTGGGCGGGTGGGCGAGTGAGTGTGCCTGTGCGCATGCACGTAAGTGTGTGAGTGCGCGTGTGTACCTGTGCGCATGCACATGTGTGTGCTGTGCATGTCTGAGTGAGTGCATGTGTGCCCTGGCTGGGACTCCAAGGCCTTTACCATGGATCCTCCTCCCACTGGCACCATTCCTGCTGCCATCACCGACCTCGTCGCCCTTCAATACCTGTCCGTCTGCGCTGCCCGCTCCCTCTCCCTCTCGCTCTCCCTCTCATCCCGCCTGCACCATCGTGCCTTCTTCCCTTCCTTTGCTCATCCCATCCCTCCGTTCAAGTTTCTCCCATTCAATTCTTCCTTGTGCGCTGCTGCCCCAATCCAGTGCATTGTACTTCCTGCTTCCACCACTCCCTTTCGTACCTCCTTTGCAAACTCACTGGACCTTACCATCTCTCCTTTCCCCCCTTCTCTCCCCCTCCTCCCCCCCCTCTCCCACTTCTCTCTTCCTGCCCATCCCTTGCTCTAGAATGTGATTTCTTGTTCCCCCCCTCCCTCCCCCTCCCTCCCACCCAACCCGTCCCCCAACCCCCGCCCCCCCTCGCCCACTTTTCTCTTCCTGCCCGTCCATTGCTCTGGAATTTGATTTCTTGTTCCCCCCTTACCTCCCCCTCCCTCTCCCCTCCCAACCCCCCCCACTCCTCGCCCACTTCTCACTTTCTGCCCATGCGTTGCTCAAGAATTCGATTTCTTGCATTTCTATGTAAATTCCTTCAAGATTTCTGCAGACCTTGCAACTTTCTGCAAGCACTTTACGAGCTTCTGCAAATTCCTTGCAAATTTCTAGAAACCCCTTTTCTATTTTCCGCACATCCCTTGCCATTTTCCGCAAAACCGTTGCAAATCTCTGCAAACCCCTCGCCATTTTCGGCAAACCCCTTGCAAATGTCTGCAGAGACCTGACGCATCTATGTAGGGATTGGGATTTTTTCGACCCGACCCGACCCGTCCCGCTCAGGTCGACCGAAGGTGGGTCGAGAAAACAGAAAATCTAGTCGCGGTTTTACTCACCTTGTTACCCATGCCCTCTGCTAGCTGCACTGCTTGCCACTCCGTGTTCCTCCTTGCTGCTGTTTTTAGAAATCATACTCTTATTCCTAAATCATCGTTTGTAAAGAAATCACAAATGCCACTACACAATCTCAACCGTGGCAGTCATTCAATCCGCTGCATTTGCTGCCTTGCTAAAGTCCTTTCCGAACCAATAATTCGTACTAAGTTTATGCCACCGTCTGCAAACAGGGATTTGAGCCTCTTGTTTCATTAGGGCGTGCAACCATTTTCATTACCTGCTCTTGGTACCATCGGTAATGGGCTCCTTTGGCCCTGGCCCTCTCGCTGACGGGGGTCTCTTCGGAGGTCTTTCCTTGCACCCAGTCCAGGACCTCTCGATCGTCCCACACGTCGGCTGGCCCCTTCCCCTTTTCACGGCTTGCCCCTTCCGCGTCTATCTCTCTCGCCAACGCCACTAGGCATGCCATAGGTCGGTGATCAGGAGGGTTTCGCGACAGCCCGTCCACGTGCTGCATGGTTTTGCCCGCTCGGTGCCGAATGGAGAAGTCATTTGGAGCCGCATTGCCCATCGCGCATTTCTCCCCGTCACCGCCTGATTGGTCATCAGCCATGTCAACGGCTGATGATCTGTCATCAGCTCGAACCGTCTCCCCTGCAAGTACACCCGAAAATGTGTGATCGCCCACATGGCTGCCAACCCTTTGCCCTCGTACGAGCTGTATTTGGCTTCCGCGGGGTTACAGCTCCGGCTGGCGAAGGCTACTACTTTCTCCTTGCCTTCCCTCTTCTGACATAGGATCGCCCCCATCCCCGCGCTGCTCCAGTCCGTGTAGAGCACGAACGGGTCTCCCTTGCTTGGCAGCGTCAACACGGTAGCCGTTTTTACTGCCCTCAGCAGCGCTTGCAGCGCCTTCTGCTCTGCCTCCCCCCACTTCCATTTCTGATCCTCCCTTAGTAGCCGGTTCAGAGCCGCCGCTGTCTTGCTGAAGTTCTATATGAACTTCCGATAGTAGTTGAGGAACCCTAGCACTGCTCGCCGCGTGCTTCGGTCCTTCGGCTGCGGAACTTTATCCAAGACCTCCACTTTCGCTTGCTGAATTCCCAGCTGCCCCCCTTGGACTTCGAACCCCAAGTACTTCACCCCTGTGTTCCCGAAACTGCACTTCTTCGGGTGGCAGGTGAGCCCGGCCTCTCGAATGGCGTCTAGTGTCGCTTTCACATCCTTCACATGTTGGTCCGCGTCAGGGCTGAAGACCACCACGTCGTCGATGTAGCATGCCGCCGCTGGCACCCCCCGGAGTATAGTGTCCATGATACGCTGGAACAAGGCCGGCGCGTTCTTCATCCCGAATGGCAGTAATAGCCATTCATATAAGCAGTTCGGCCCGTGGAACGCCGTCTTCTTGCGGTCGGCCATCCTGATCGGGATCTGATTGAATCCCTGCCGCAAATCTAAGGCGGAGAACACCTTCGCCCCCTGCAGCTTCTCGAAAATCTCCTCCGCCGACTGAATGGGGTATCGGTCCGCGACAGTAACTTTGTTCAAGCTCCGATAATCCCCGCACATCCTTCTAGCTGACACTGCCCCTGTCAGATCCTTCCTGGAGGCCACGACCGTCGCTGCGGCGTAGTCGCTCTCCGACCGCTGGATCAGCCCCACTTCTAACAGTTCACTGCATTTCTCGGTGCAGATGTCAATGTCTTTAGGACTCACCCGCCGCTTCCGCTGGTATATCGGGACTCCGCTGGTGAGCTCGATCTTCATCTCGTGCGTCTTGCATTTCCCCAGCTCCTGCAGGGTGTACGCGAAGGTCCCGCGGTGTTGCTTCAGCACTTCCTGCAAGGCTGCCGCCGCTACTGCATCCATCCCTCCTCCGAATATCCAGTCATCGTCTGGCCCTCGGTCTTCCTGTCCCGTTTTCTTCACTACCGCTTCCGTATCTCCTTCAGTCTCTCCTTCCATCCCCTCCATCGCCATGTACGCCCATCCTTCGTCTATCCTCTCGTCGTATCTCTCCTCCATCCTGGCTAAAGCTTTCTTATGCCATTCCGCCGACTCGAGCTCCCGATTCTGCTCGCTACACGCGATATCTCTCTGCAGCTCCTTCGCCTTTAGGTGCATTCGCAGGGTCTCCAGCAGCCATATCATTACGTTCACGTCCATAGCTCGGCCTAAGGCGGCACGACGCTGCTGCTCTGTCACTTCGGGGTGTGCTGTGGCTCCCCACAAGTGCCCCATGGCTGCTCTCGCTCATTCGCCGTCGGCTGCTCCCAGATTCCCTTCCGCACGTCGTAGATCATCCCTGGTCCTGGCAGCTCCCCTTCCATGACAAACCCCCGTGCCTCTGCGTAGGACACTAGCGTGGGCAGAGCCTGCCTGGGTTTGCCCGGCTCGTTACATTGATACTGCGACGGGTGATCGGGACAGGTCACGGGGGCCGGCATGCGATTTGGCTCTAATATATCGCTCACTAAGCGCGGCTCCGGGCGTTGCATCAGCGCCAACGAATGTCGCAACGCCGCCGTGGACATCACATTCTGCCAATATCTCCGCGATCGGTGCGCTCGAGATCCCAGCTACGCCGCGTCGACTGGTACCCCCCCTTCCCAGTACCCCTGATATCTCCTCAAACGCCCGCTTCACCGGCTCTCTCTTATCTTCCGCCATGTCCACGTTCTCCAGGACAAATGCAACTTCCCCCTGGCGCCGCTGAATCATCTCCAACACCCGTTGGAGGTCTCGGAATGACGCTCCTCTTGCGTCTTCCATACCCCGGCCTTCCCCTGCCCTGGAGTACCCTTGACACTCCCATCTAGTGATGACCAGGTCCACCTGCCCCCAGTCGTCCAACACCCTCTCGGAGATCTCTCGGACATCGTGTACTCCCCGTTCTCCCACATCTGATCTGGGTACTCTTCCGCTAGCAGCTTGGCATGGTGCCGTGCCATTTTCCGTACCATCGGATCGCGCTCTACGTGGATCCACTGCTTGATAGTGCACCCTGCTCGTAACGCCGCAGCCAGACCGCTCCCGATTCCTCCGTATAACTCCACTACGCGGAGGGACCCCTCTAGGGCCCATACGGGACTGATGCACTCTGACAGGGCGGGTGGGTCCTGTCCCGATGTCAGCTTCTCGATCGTCGTTCGTGTTCCTCCCCGTACCTCTCCCAGTGCCATTCATCTAGCTCCTCGGTCAGATCCTGTCTCTGCGCCTGATACGCTTCCCGCGGCTCCTGCCGAACGAACCGTACCAGCAGCGTGCCTACGGAGCTCTCTGGGTCCCAGTACTGCACCCGGTACAGAACCTTCTCCTGCCAAGTGCATATGGTGGCTCCTACGCGGTAGAGGAGCTCCATCCCTACGAGGACATCATAGTCCTCGGATTCCGAGACCCCGCACTGCAGACGGATGCAGCACTCCTTCTCGGTCCCGGGTAGGAGCACCACTTCCACCGGTCTTCTCGTCTTTGTCATCCACTTGGGCTCCCCTCCTTCGGCGGTCATGAGTAGGATCCCCCTCTCTATGGTCCGGCCGGCCACATCCAACTTCAGCTGCTTGGCGAGTCCCTTTCCGATCAGCACATGGTGTGCGCCCGTATCGATGATGGCCTGCTTCACGGGTAGGCCTCCCACCGTACTACTTCCCTTCTCCGCTATCAACACCGACGCTTGGCACACTAGCCTTTCATTCGGGTGTCGACGCATGTCAAGATGCCTAGTCCGTTCTGTTTGGCTACTCCGTTGGCGAGGCCCGCTAGTAGCATCACTGTCTTGGGACTGGCTCGCTCTCGGTCGGAGTCGGAGGTCGTCTCGCGCCCTGGGATATGCCATCACCGCATACTCCCGCTTGTAGTCCTCTTCCCCCTCCTCTTCGTCTTCCTCAATCTCTTCGTACGCCAGCAGCGCCCGAGCTTTCACCTCCTTCGGATTAGGTAACTGCTTCAGTCGCTGCTGTAGGCGACAGACCTCGGCTTGGAGCTCCTCCCTTGTTGCCCCCGACGCCTCTCTTGGCCAGCTGTAGCATTCTTCCTTCCGATGCCCTCGTTTCCCACATTGCTCGCAGATCGGCGCTTTAGGGCAATCCCGTTTCAAGTGCCCGTGCTCTCCGCAAGTGTGACAGATCCGAGGTTCCGCGCGGCTACCGCTCCCGAGGAATGTCTCCGGTACGGCCATTGCCGCCCAGCTCGTCTTTGCCCGGCTCCTCCCTTCTGAATCTACCAGATCTAGCAGTCGCTGCGCCTGTTCCGTCTTCTTCGCCAGCAGGTAGACCTCTTTGAGGGTGATGTCAGCGCCTACGCCGTAGACGGTGCTCCGCACCACCCCCCGTAGCTCGTCTTCCAGACCCCGTATGAACTTCCTCACGAGCAAGCGCTCGTCCTTGCTTTCCAGATCCTCAGCTAGTTCGCGGAGTCGGCAGTAATAGGCCAGCAGGGACTCGTCCTTCTTCCGCCTGAAGTCCCGAAACTCCTCGACGCGCGCCTTTGTCTGTCCGACGAACTCCTTTCGTAGCAGCTGAAGAAACAGGGCCGTAGGGTTGGAAATTTCTCCTTCCGCCAATTCTTCGAGGACCTCGTCGCGCGTCATGCGGTAGAACGTCTCCGCTCGCCCGCCAACGTTCCCGCCATTTTCCGGAAGAACTCCACCGGGTCGTATCCATCGCGCTCCCAGCATTACTGCACGGTCTCGAGAGCTGCATGAGGTAATTCTTCAGACTTGGTCCCGCACCGGGAATGCCCGTGTAGCGTTCTGCTACCTCCACCTTTGGCAAGTTCGTCGCCTTCCAGCGTCCTCCCCGATTTCTGGATGCTTCATGCGGATCCCCGGGTACGTGCGTGACGCCGCTATACACCAGGGTCCCTCCTTGCCGCGCCTCCTCAGCCGGGCCCACGTTCGGTGTCCAACGCGGGTCGGGATCTCCCTTCTTAGTAGTCATCCCCGGCATCCCGGTCTGCGGGGTCGCTACCTCTTGGTTCCGCCACCGCGTTCGAACTTCCTCGGTCCATCGATGGTCTCGCGGCGTATCTCCCGGGTCCGAGACAGCCGTACGATCTCTGTCCATGTTGTCCGCAGCCGTGCGGGCTCGTTGATGGGGCGTCCGGTATATGGGTGAATTCGTTTCTGTGCGGGCCTGACCTGGCCGCCCACTCACGACGACAGCGTTGGCTCGCCACCCCGCAGTAGGCTTAAGTTCTCCAGTGTCGTTCCACAGTCGAGTTCGTACTAAATCTCGGCTGTTCATCGGCAGCTTTCCTTGCGTAATCGTTGTAAAGTCTCCAGCCCCTGGCCAAGACGGCTATTCAAACCCTAGCTCGGCAGGCTGAGATGGTTAGCGAACGTTCTCTTCAGTGCTTGCGCAGGTTGGCTCCTCGTGCTTAGACACGTATGAATACGTAGAATGTTGTAAGCATAAGCGTGAAAACAATCACGCAAGCATCTCTCTAAGCTTGCCTAATTCCTTAAGTACCAGCGGCGGGTTACCGTTGTACTAACGGTCCCCTTTCGCCCGCCAACTTCTCGTTTCTGTTTGTTCGCTTCGGCATTCAGCCGGTCCACCCTTATCCTGCCTACTGTATCCCCTGATTATCTTATAAGTCACGAATTTATATCGAAGGCACCTACGCAAAGATTAGAATCGTGACACAGGTTCAAGTCATGAGCTCCATTCACCATACAAGGGGCGGGGGGAGCTTCAAGCTGGGAAGAAGGACAGGGCACTGGGGGCAGGGGAGGAAGTATACTTGAAGCAGGCCAAGCATGACCTGATGGACATTGGGCTGAGCACGGAACGTTGGAGAGTTAAGGAAGTGAATGACTCTCGAGTGGTGGTGCTCGTGGGCGAGCAAGGGCAGAGGAGGACGGATCATTGCACCAACGTGGCTAGGGCCAAAGAGAGACCCACGGGGCGAAAGGACACACAGCCACATAAGGAAGGCATCCATCGGCAGCCTGCAGGGGCTCAAGGACAGCCGCGGAGGGGGCAAGTGGGGAGAGTGGCTGGACTCAAAGGAAGGATGAGTAGAGAGATGAGGAGCCTTCAGAAGCCAGGCTGAGAGTCGCGGGAGAAGAAGAGGAGCCAGGAGATACAGGAGAGGCGAGAGCAGAGCAGGAGGAAGAGGAGACAAGAGGTGCAGGCGAGCCGAGAGCCGAAGATTCCGATAGCTGTCACGATTCTAATCTTTGCGTAGGTGCCTTAGATATAAATTTGTGACTTATAAGTTTGAACAGAGATTGAACCGGCCAAACAGTTTTGCCTATTCTAACCCGGCCAAACAGATCCGCCTCAATACAAAGGGCAATAAAGTAACTCTAGTTCGGTTCGAACAAAAAAAAAGAAAAAAAAACCCTTAATCCGAACCAGGCTTTGGTATGCCTGCCCATGCCCCGTTGACAGCATGTGATTGTGTTTCTGCCTCCTGTCTAGTGCTCAAGTTGTCCAAGCATAAGTGTAGAGTCACATGGCAGTGCCACATACCAACCTCAAATCACATGCATATTCTCTCCTGTGTCGATCTTCCCACCTCCATTGCAGCAACACCACTGGCACGGGTCTCACTTGTCCTCCTACTGACAGCACCAGCTGCAGCCAAATCCATTCGCTATTCACGGCCTTCTGCCAGAATTGTCAAAACACCTGTTCGACATGCCAAGCCAAGAACAATCGGGTCAATAGGGGCCAAAGAGCTGTGCCTGTTTGACTTCAGCCAAGGCGTGCTTGTGCTGTTGTGATGGTCATCACATTTTCTCTGCTTATCCGACATGATTGTGTTGTGTTGTGCTCGTGCAGCATCATCTGGAGGTGGAGGCGGCGGGGGTGTACCAATAGGAGCCATCATCGGCATTGCTGTTGCTGCTGTAGTCGTTCTCCTCCTGCTTCTGGCTGCCATGCTGCTCTGCTTCAGGCGCCAGAAGCAACGAAGTTCAAGAGGTACGAGCAGCGGGATTCCAGGGCTGAGATGTGCTGCATGTGCTCAGATGATCTGCTGCCCACCTCCACACCGCCTCAAAGCTCCGAGTTGAGACGTTCCTCTTCCTTTTCTGCACGATATGGACAGCGCGAGGGCTCTCTAATTGCCTCCTCGCCATTCACCCACCACCCGATGAGCAGGCCCGGGAACCAGCCTGGCAGCCTCGCATTGCACGGAGTTTTCATTGGAGGAGGTGCTCAAGGCCACCAACGACTGGTCGCAGGACAATCTGCTTGGCTCGGGTGCCTTTGGTGATGTCTACAAGGGCGTCTCTCCCCGCAATGCCACCACACCGTGGGCTGTCAAGCGCACCAAGCTCGTAGCCGTGGACTTCCAGAAGGAGGTGAGCGCACTGTGCATGAGGAAAAAAAAAAATTGGTTCTCCCTTACTTCCACAAAAGAAAGAAACTCAACCTAGAATAGCGCTACACATATTGTGATCTGTAAATCTCATTTTCCCTAGTTGAGCAAGAAGAAACAATGTTTTTCCTTCCCTATTCAACCTGCTCTTTCTTTCTTTCTCCGGCTTCTTTTTCCCGCTCTTGTGTTCTGGTTCTCCAGGTCATGCAAATGGCTGACAAGAACCATCCCGACATTGTGCAACTGTTGGGGTTTGCAGTGGGAGGGGACGTCAGGTTTACGATTGAGCAAGTCCTGATTTACGAGTTTGTGCCCAGCGGTGACCTCCACAAGTGGATAGAACGTGTTCGTGTTCGCCCCTACACGAACACAGCCGTTTGCCGAACCGAACACTGTTCGGTTCGGCGAACACTTTGAGCAAAAACAGGTGTTCGCCGTTCTCCTGTGAAGGCGTGTTCAGGCGAACCTCGAACACGTTCGTGTTCGTCGCGGGGCAAATTGCAGCAGCGGCCCGAACACGAACGTGTTCGGGCGATTATCGAACACTGTTCGGCGAACACTTAAAGCCAAAAAACAAAACCTGTTCGGTTCGCCTCGAACGTGTTCGAGGCAAACCGAACAGGTGTTCGTTTTTTTTCTCAACCCTAGGACCAAGTAAGTGTTAACAAATTATTGTAAAGCATTAACTTGAGCAGTGCCACTCATGGTAGGCCAGGCCACTCATGTTGTCCGCCTGATGCTTGCTGTGAAGCTCATCCCTTGGCTTTGACATTGTTGCAGACGCACCTGCTCCTCTGAGTCTCCAGCAGCGATTGGACATTTTCATTGGTGTTGCGCGTGGCTTTGAGGACCTCCACAGCTTTGACATTGTGCATCGCGACATCAAGCCCGCCAACATCCTCATCACCAATGACATGCAGGCAAGCGCGTGTGGTTGCACAAGGATGCACGGTAGCTTAATACTGTCAGGGAGTAATCAGTACTATAAATATGAGTCCCTCACATCTATCTCTAAATAAGTGCCAACTTTCATGCGCTTGCACCTTTCTTCCTCCATCACCTGTTCCCTTTTTGGTGCTAATTCGTACTATCATATCATTCGACCACTCACCAGGCCAAGATTGCAGACTTTGGGCTGGTGAGGGTGGGAGAGGGCACGACTGTAGGCACGACTCAAAACATGGGAACACCAGGCTATGTGGATCCGGTCTACTCCCGGACGTCTAAGGCCACCGCAGTTAGCGATGTCTACAGGTGAGTCAAGAGTCATATCACAATCGTGCCATGTCATCCAATGATCCTGGGAAATGTGTTTCATTTTTTAGTGGGGGGGGCATATACCCCCCTTAGAGCGAGCATACACATGTTTCATGGTGAGGGCTTCTAAAAGTAGGAACACTAGATACAGGTTTCAGCTTTTCTACCCTAGACAGTCAAACTACTTTTGCAAACCCTGTCTATGTTTCAAGTTCCGCAATCACACCTTTGCTTGCGTTGGCCAATCAAATTCCTTCACACATTTTGTAACCACGATTTGCCCTACTGTCTATCAACATTAGTAAGCTTGACCCGCGCGATCCGAACTTTGGGCTGCGGGCTTTGAGTGCTTAATCTGCATGGGTGTGCAGTTAGCATTTGAGTTTTTCAGACATAGAACAACCGCTCCAGCCTAAATAGTTCGATACCCACCATCCTTCTCTTGCATATGTTATATCTCCTGATTTTTTTTTATTTTTCAAGCCAGATCCGGTCGCTCACCATCAATCTCCTCGACAGTTTGTTTCACAAGCAGGGAATGGCCGTGATAATGTACATCATATGCATCACACCATCGTGTTTCTCTCATCGTCCCTCGCACGTTGCAGCTTTGGTGTGCTCATGCTTGTGGTGCTCACAGGACGCCCTCCAGTCTCTGAGGATGGTGGGGAGTCCAAGCAGATCACGTCGTGGGTAAGTTCCCCACAAACAGATTGCTGGATGTTGCTGATTGTTGCCGATTTTTTTTCTTTTTACCAACGCAAAGGTAACTGCGCTGATGGCTGACTGATTTGCGCTCGACTTTGTTCACACTTTCTGCAATTTGCTCTCCATCAGGCGTCCAACTGCCTGTCATTGAATGACATAGAGAGCCTCAAGGACCCGGGCTTGGAAGCCCCAAGGGATGCGGTGCAGCGCCTGGCTGAGCTGGCAGTGAGCTGCACCGTGGAGCGCAGTGCAAGCCGCCCAAGTATGGCGCACATTGCCACCCAGCTGCAGGCTGTCAGGGAGGAGGTGGCGGGGAAAAAGGAGTTGTGCGCCGCTATTTAGGTGGATGCGGAGGTCCAAGAGATGAAGGACGCTGTTGCGGGTGTGGAAAGTTTTGAGACACAACTTAGAATGATTGGGGATTAGCCCTCTGGATAGATATGCTAATAACTAGCAGTCACTCTTTCCGTAACGGTACCGAACACCACCCCGCCCGTATTTTCTATTAGTGATGTTTGGGACAGATAATCACAAATCTATTGGTAGTTGTTGCCATAATAGAAGGTTGTGTGCAGGTTGGGCAGAGAGAAGCTGAAGTAGACAGAAGGTTGCTTTGGCAGCAAGCAAGCCAGCTGAACATGCACTTCCAAAAGTAGGGGTTGTATGCGAAATAGTAAACTCTAGTCAGGAAAAATGGTATGCACTATTAGAGCTTTACACACACTCTTCCCTCCCCACCATCACCCTTTTCCTGCCACATTCCTCTCTCGGTCATCTGATTTAAGCCCAGCATTTCCCTCCCATAATTTCTCCCTTGCTACCTGCACATGCCGTATTCTCCCTGACAAAACACCCCCCCCCCCGAATTGTATATCCCTGGGTAGCTTGTGCGGGGTGGGTGCTATAGCTGACCCCGTTTGTACTATACCCCCCCTTTTTGGGTGACTTTCTATAACACCCCTCTTTTCTTACAGATTCCTATTATAGCTGTTATCGAGTCAGATTCCTTACGGGAGGATATCGCGAGAATCCCTCCCTAGATGAAATTTCGCGTGTACTTTCACCTAGAATCTGCCGACATTTCCCCCCTCCCACAATCTCGCTGTCGCCACGCTGGCGAATCTTTCGCTGCAAACTGTGATGTTAAAACGACCATTGAAACACCCAAGTTGTCTAATTAAAAAATACTCTTGTTACGAATAGTAATTATTGAAACATTACTATGCACTCCTCACCGCAGCAAGTGAAGTTCAGACTACCGAGGATGAAGACGAACTGGCGGAAGTAACACGAAGGGTCGCACAGTTACGAAAGCATCTGGACCGTCGGGCAGACAGCATTAGGCAGCAGCAGTGGCAAGGATTCTGCCCGTACACTTTCGTAACCGTCTGGAGTTGCACGGTTGGATTTCGCTGTAATAAAGGAATGTACCCCTTAGAGTACATGGCTAGCTAGGTCGTTTTGCATTCCCCTGTACTCTTATTTATTTGTACTTGCATGTTTTTATTATCTCAAGCATTTACATTCACTCTGCTATTGAGGTCAAGGGCCCACCACCACTAAATCTGTAGTTTGCGTACCTTCCAGAGGTGATCCTGGCAGCGATCAACACCTGATCGCAGCATGGTAGGAGAGCGACTCGGGAATCCTTCGCACTGCCAACTCCGAAATCTACGACGATCGGAAAGTGGCGTCCGGCACACGCTCCCGTGTGAGAATGGCCGGAGGATCTGGAGGTCAGACAAATCTGACAGCTGAAGCGCAGACCAACGCGGTTGCGACAAACGAGGAAACGACGACGATTGGAACCGCCATCCTCGCACAACTGCTTCAGCGACTCACGAGCTTGGAGCAAGAACTCCCAACATTGCAGAACGGCGACGCAGGAACACCTTCCCAACCCTCTCAACCGGCCTCGAATGGCCAGAACTCCGCCCCGCACACATTCTCCCTCGACACAAATGGCTCAACACCCAAGACTCCCTGTCCCAGTGAAGAAGCAATTCTCTCTGCACAATCAAGGTTTTGAGCATATCAAAAATAAAGACAAGTGTGTGCTTTGACGGCAGAGACTTCTATACCTGGAGCTTTGAGCTGGAGCTGCTGCTTCAAAACGCGCAGATTTTTCACTACTTCGACGGGAGTTACTCGGGACCTGCTCAAGACACCGACGACGTCAGAACGAAGTACTACAACGAGTCCCTGATGGCGTACGGGGTTATTCTGCGGAACATGTCGCCGACGGAGCAATTGACCATACGCTCATACAAAACGTCACCTGCTCCAGCCCTTGATGCTTGGCGCCTCCTAAACGGCGTGTATGAACCGAAGGATTCGGTTTCGTCCAGCCGCCTACTCCAGCAGCTACTGGAGACAAAAATGGCACCACGAGAGAAGGCCAATAGCTACCTGAAAGGCTCGGCCCAGAGTGGCGACCCTGCAAGGCGCTTCTTCGACAGCAGGGGGTCATCTCGGAGGCCGCCCTTTGCGCCGCCCTCCTCATCGAACAACGGGATATGGACCAGCAGCGACCAGCGCCGCGACGAGACAGAGAACGCCTCGCCTTCTACACCGACAAGACTGAAGAGCGACGGGCGCGACGCCTCTACTACAAAATCTACAGAAACTTTGGGCACCTAGCAGATCGATGCAAATTCCAATCTCGCCCTTGCCAGACCAACCCGAGCACTTGGTCCGGCTGTCAAGACGCACAAAACGACACGCGTCTCGCCCAGGGGTATCAACCCCCATCGCGCAACCTGAACCCAACAGTTCAGCACCAGCAGCAGCAGCCGTCACAGACTGCTCCCGTCCGCAACGTCATAGGGAACATGACAATGACAAGCGGATCACGTCGTCCGCGCGAACGCTCACCAACACCTGAGTCGGCACCTCACCCAATCGGAGTGTTCTCGAACAACAACCCGTTCAGCACGCTTCACGACTTCAGAGACGGCGACAAACAAGACTGGAACCTTCCAGTCCCGCTGCTTGAAAGCCCTCCGCACGTACCTGATATGCGGCCGGCACCAATCGATTGGATCGCGCGCGAACAATTTCTCAAGGTCGACACACCGCACATCGTTACCCCGCGATTGGCGCTGCTCGCGCGTAACGACAACAGGCGCTACAACACGTGGTACCTGGATAGCACATGAGCGCTACATATCCAACGCCATCACCACCCCCGCCATGACCTACGTCACCGTGGCGAACAACATATGCCTGCGCGCAAGCGCGCAAGGAATCGTGGTGCTCAAGGCACACGGGAGCAGGACGCACATCACGTTGAACGATGTGCTAATCGTTCAGAATCTGCGCTTCAATCTTCTCTCGGCGGCGCAACTCATAGATTCCGGAGTTGTCCTCAGCACCGACCCCGAGGCGCGCGACATCCTGCTCCACTACGCCCCGCAAAACAAGGCGCGCAAGCAGATCGGAAGAGCGCACTCTGAAAATGGAGTTTACATCCTCGACTTTGATATTCCCGACTGCAGCGGCGACTCGCAAGAGCTCATCGACCTCGTCCCCCTGCGCTTCGAACACATTCATCGCCGCGACTGGAAGAATCCTGACTGACGCCTCTGTGTGGCGCATCACCCACATCCGCGCGAACTGGCGCTGCACAACCCTGCTCCAGACGGGACCTCCAGGGACTGCCACACACCAACCTCCTCGACGAGCGCAGTCGCCGGTCATGGCCTCGCCCCCATAGCAGAAGCAGAACGTGAAGCACCGCCTGAGGAAGGCATGTCTAACCTGGAGTTAGAAATCGCGACACGCGTTGTCTTCGGCACGCCAGATCATCCCCTCCCTGGACCTGCGTCTCAACATCTTCACGGCATGCTGCGCAGCGTTGGCGTTGGCATACCGCGACCTTACACCAAGGAAAAGGCAGCAGAGATATACTCTCACTATCACGACTCGAAGAAGCAGCTCACCGTGGCGGAAGAAGAAGAGTTGGCGCGACGCGAAGCGGAGGAGCTTCGCCAAAAAAGTCTCGCCGAGTCGTGCAGTACACTTGCCTGGGAACAAGAAGAGCTGCGTGACTGGAACTTACCCACACCACGGTGTGCTTGGTCTTCCCAGCATCCTCAGATAATGAAGACCGTCCAGTGAGCACCACAAGGATGAGCACACCAAAGCTGCAACGTGCGAGAGGTGGTGACTGCAATGCGATGGTGAGAGCAACTCGAGAGCAGTGCAACGGTGAGATGCATACGACAACTCTATTTTGTGAATTCAAATAACCTGTAGAGGATCTCGATGGTGTCCAGTCAAAAAGGGAAGGATACCGGGTAATCAACCAACTAGGTTAGATGGGTTGACCAAGTAGCATAGTCCCATTACATGCTTGTTCGAGGTGCAAATTTAATGCATAAACTAATATCGACATGGCATCTGACGGGGTACATGCCACATATTGTAATCGTTGGAGTCTCCTTCATTGGAGCCAACTCCTAGAGTCTTCTGGCACACATAGCACGACCTGTATATGACTCTTGGCTCACCTGTATACATCACTGGCTGTGGTGGCCTTGGACGTCCGATTGTAAACCAGATCCACATAGCCCGATGTTCCCATGATTCGAGTTGTGCCCACTGCCGTGCCCTCTTCCACCCTCACCATCCCAAAGACTGCAATCTTGGGCTAGTGGGTGGTTGGATATGTGATATATGAATGCACCATGTTACGAGTGCAATTGAGTGAGCGAGCCAGAATTGCACTATCGAAGAAAAACAGTACATCGAGCGAAGGCATGAGCGAAGAATAAATAGCGAAGCTACAGTGGTAACGGTATGAAAATGGGGTGTGCTACGGGCCTAGTGCCGAGGTTGGGAATTGTCGAGGCGGAGGTCCGAAGTGTGGTTTACCAACCGAACCGTGAGGTTGGGTCGCGTCGTCAACAGTGGCGGGAATAGTGGTCAAGGCGAGTGTCGCAAGTGGTAACGGTACACTGTTAAGAGTTGTAGCACAGTCATTTACTGTGCGTGGTACACAGAAACTTCTCGGGAAAGCAGCGCACTTGAAAAACGGTGAAAAACCGTGAAGTAACTGTAAGGCGTCGTGAAAAACGGTGAGAAACCGTTTTGTAACTGTGAACGTTCGTGATAACGGTAATTCCACACGAATGTTCATGATTGCGTACAAGAAATCATGAATGTTCGCGAAGGGAGTCAGCAGGGGAGTTTGACAGAAGTGCAGTTTGAATTGACGGGGCAAATCAAGCCAAATTCAAGAGCAGTTCGACAACCGTTCTCCTTGGCGGATATGACGAAGTCCTGAAGTAAAATATAAATGCGTGCTTGACCAACTGCTTTGTGCTTTCCAATGCTTGTGT